CAGGCGAGTTTGCTGGCCAATCAAGGACAGGGATACCATGGTCCTTGAACCAGGTGCTGGTGGTTTTGGCACTGTGTGCAGGTGCCAAGTCCTGTTGAAAGGTGAAGTCTGCATCCCCATAAAGTTGGTCAGCAGCAGGAAGCATGAAGTGCTCTAAAACTTCCTGGTAGACGGCTGCATTGACCCTGGACCTCAGGAAACAGAGTGGGCCAACACCGGCAGATGACATGGCACCCCACACCATCACTGACGGTGGAAACTTTACACTGGACCTCATGCAACGTGGATTCTGTGCTTCTCCGCTCTTCCTCCAGACTCTGGGTCCTTGATTTCCAAAGGAAATGCAGAACTTGCTTTCATCAGAAAACATAACTTTGGACCACTCAGCATCAGTCCAGTCCTTTTTGTCCTTGGCCCAGGCGAGACGCTTCTTGCGCTGTTTCTTGTTCAAGAGTGGCTTGACACACGGAATGCGACACCTGAATCCCATGTCTTTCATGAGTCTCCTCGTGGTGGTTCTTGAAGCGCTGACTCCAGCTGCAGTCCACTCTTTGTGGATCTCCCCCACATTTTTGAATGGGTTTGTCGTCACAATTCTCTGCAGGGTGCGGTTATCCCTAGAGCTTGTACACTTTTTTCTACCACATTTTTTCCGTCCCTTCGCCTGTCTGTTAATGTACTTGGACACAGAGCTCTGCGAACAGCCAGCTTCTTTAGCAATCACCTTTTGTGTCTTGCCCTCCTTGTGCAAGGTGTCAATGATTGTCTTTTGGACAGCTGTTAAGTCAGAAGTCTTCCCCATGATTGTGGTGCCTTCAAAACAAGACTGAGGGACCTTTTAAAGGCCTTTGCAGGTGTTTTGAGTAAATCAGCTGATTAGAGTGGCAGCAGGTGTCTTCTATATTCAGCCTTTTCAGAATATTCTAATTTTTTGAGATACCAAATTTGGAGTTTTCATTAGTTGTGACTTATGAATATCAAATTTAAATGTAATGAACATTGGAAATACATTGGTCTGTGTGCATTGCATGAATATAATGTACAAGTTTCACGTTTTGAATGGAATTACTGAAATATTTTCAACCTTTTGATGATATTCTAATTTACTGGCCAGCACCTGTACATACACACACACACATATACACATATATATATATATATATATATATATATATATATATATATTAGGGCTGCACGATATTAGGAAAACTTGCGATATTCTATAACAGTGCTTAATATTGCGATATCGATATGACCTGCGATAAATGAATAAATACTAAAATATGCAGTGTTGATGTCGTCTGGCGTGTGATGTCTGCTCTGGGTTCAAAGCAAACAAAAACTAATGCATGAATTCCATTACAACATAACATTTTATTGTAAAAATATGCAGCTGCACCTGCTACTGTATTAGCAGCAAAACAACAAACTGCATGCATGCAGTTTTTCAGTGACTTTAAAACATCACCACCACCATAAAACTTATTCTGATGCTCCAAATACAGAAAAACATCCCTTACCAGGCTTTTTGAATAAAAAAAAAATATCTGAAAATAATTTTAAATGTTAAATAATAGTTAACGTCACTTAAATGCAAAAGCAAATTCTCTCATTGCTACTGAACATTTTCTCCACTTATGTGGTTATGATATGAGGCTGTTGCTGTAACTGGGAAGTGAACTGTGCTGGGCCAAACTAGGAGAATATTAAGATTTTTTGAGGGAAAGAGAAAAACAACTGTCTACCTTTCAGAAGAAGAACTGGCAAAAAAAAAAACTACATGGAAAATATGTGAAAACTAGGGCTGGGACTTGATTAAAATTTTTAATCTAATTAATTACAGGCTGTGTAATTAATTAATCTCAATTAATCGCATTTTAATCATTCAGGAAAATGTGCTCTCAAAGTAAACTTTTAATTAAAATTATGAGACAGAGAATCAAACATTAGACATGGTTATTACTGTAAACTGAAGCTTTTAATAAAAAAATGCATTTTAAGTATTCAAATGTCACTGTGTGATATGAAACAAGACCCAAATCAACTAAAATTTATAATTACAAATAGAAAACACCTGCAAAGGGTTCCTGAGCCTTTAAATAGTCTCTCTGTCTAGTTGAATGACTGAAATAAATATGACTTTGCACCAGATTCTAATTTTTCCAGTTTCACTTGTTTGTACAATTGGGAGTTTTTATTAGCATTTCTACTCATAATGTAGTAAAAGCACATAAATAATAATCCTTCAAAATGACAGTAGAACAGGCACAAATATGATCTAGGACTTAAATGTACTAACTTTTAACACCAGAGCAGGCATGGCATATTCTGAGAATGATCAGGAACACTAACTGGTTCCAGTTGGATGACTGGAGGATGATGGGATGATAAAAGATCATGGCGAGGAAATAATTATCTGACGAACAGGTGAGCGGACCTTCCTTACATGGGAAGTTCTGCTGTCATGTTAATAAGGGGATGCTGCAGACCCGCAGATTCACGCCTGCAGCAGCAAATCTGGTGTGATCTCCAGCCTGATCACAACTTTCTCGTTCCTCGCTGCCTCTGATACACTTAAGTATCCGCCCCTTAGCTGATGACAGCTTCAACACACCTCGCTGCATAATGATAGCAATGCATGTGATGTTTAGACAGAGGCTCGTCTCAGAAACATAGAATTCCCCGACAGAATTGTTTAGAAAATCATCAGAAAAGTTTCAGAGTGTTTCTGTTTTAACTTAAACTTCTGTTTTCAACTTTAAGACACGTTGTTTGTGATTGTTTACAGAGTAGTGAGAACACGGAGCGTTCTCCCAGCGGCAGCCAGGTGCCTCTCGTTTGTCTGACTATTTTCATAAACTACTGTTAGGGCACAGAATTATTCTGTCTGGTGCTTTCAGCGCTGCACAGATGTTACGTAAATGTTAAAAATATAGCTTACCGCAACTTTTGTAAAGTTTCCGGTGCCACCGGGCAGCTGCAGCAGAGACGATCTCTGAAAAATGTCCGCGACACGGACTCCGTTGTTGTCTGGAAGGTTTTTTTTCCAAGTTAAGAAAAGAGGCGGGCGTGTTTCCTAAATCCTGCATCAGTCCAAGCAAGGCAACTTCTTTCTGTTTTTATTCCGTTTTAGTAGCCATTAGCACTGTGCATTGTTGTGTGCGTCAGTGATATTCAGTCTACGAGGAAGTTGTGTAATGACAAAGGTTCCGCTGATGTATGACACGGATGGAAATGTTTGAACCAAACATTTATCGCCGTTTTTGACGTGCTTTGCGATGGGCCTATCGCACATCCTGTTATCCCGATGACGATAATTTTTCGATATATTGTGCAGCCCTTATATGTATACCCTTTCTGTAGACAAACAGACTTAGGTCAATAGATATGGATGTTTTCCTGAATATTATTTATATGCACACCAAAAACTATAGATTTAAAGGCTATGAACCAAAGATAATAAAATACAGAGGTGAAGGTTTATGCCAGGGGTATTCAATTAGATTTTTTGTTGGGCCAAATTATCATAAGGCTTTTGCCAGTGGGCCGCACATTTCCCTGTATCTCATATTTTTCCATTAAAACAAAGTACCACTGCATTTTCAACATTTTTATTTAAACAAGTCAAATGACATTAGGATTAACTGCTGGTTTTTAGTGAAAATAATAGAAACTGCAAAACATAGCCAACTCTGGTTTTAACAGAAATCAGAGTCACAAACTCATAGTGACAGTACTTTTTTTTTCTCTTAAAATAAAAGCCAAGAAAACATAACCAGCTTTAGTTTGACTGAAATCACAGTCACATAAAATGTCAGTAACAATAATTCCAATGTCTTTTGTGCAAATACAGTAACAACCTCACAGCTCTCAGTAATAGCAATATCATATTGTGCAAATAAGAATAAACAAAACTTTGAATTAAATCACAAAATTAAACTGCTGGCTTTTAAAGCATATCAAAGGAAACAAAAATGTGTTTAGTCTTCATACTGCAGGAGACTTTGATCAATCTCTAATGAGAAAAATGACACTTCATTGACTGGGCAAGATGAGAAAAGTTAGGCTCATATGGGGTGACGGCAATCCGCAAACAATGATGCAGATGCTCATTTGTCAAGGACATTCGATTCTCTGTTTTTATGGCATTCATGTGAGAGAAGGCTGATTCGCATGTATATGTTGATCCAAACATTGTTAAGACACATATAGCCAGTTTTTTCATGTTTGGGAACATCTCTGGGACAATGTGCTTTGTCCAAAGCTCGGTGCAACCTTTTTCCTGAAGGACATCTTTGAATTCCCCTGATGCTTGTATTTCAATCATTTCAAGTTGCAGGGGACCTTCATCAATGCCATGTAACTCCAGGAACGCTGCTGTTTTGGGGGAAGTATTGGGCGTGCTGGTGAATGGGTTCCTCACAACATGCAGCAACTCTTTGGGAATGTCAAAGTCATAGAACCTCTGTGCAAAGTTGTGTTTCAAATTGTCCAGAAAGTCTGACATGACCTTTGTGACTTTACCACATTGTGATGACTTAATGAAGCCACTGAGGGTTGGAAAATGCAGCAGTCTGCTACTGAGATCAGATGAAAACATGTCTAGTTTATTTTGAAAAGCAGTCAGTCTTTCAACCACATCAGCAACTGTTTTATCTCTCCCTTGAAGTCCCAGGTTAAGCACATTCAAATGATGGAAAATATCACATAAAAACACATCTCAGACACAAATTTATCATCCAGCATGTTGGTCAGAAATGTTTCAGCCTTTCTCTGCTTGCATTCACGAAGGAAAGTAATGATTTCTTTCCTCAGTTCACAGACTCTCATGAGTGCATTTCCCTGGCTTAACCACCTCACATTGTTATGCAAAAGTAGGTCAGCATGCTCAGCTGACATATCAACAAGAAGTTTGCGAAACAGTCTGTGTTGAAGACCAGATGTTGATCTAATAAAGTTAATTGTAGCCATGACAGAATCCATTATGTTTTTCAACTCACCACTTAAGGACACTCTGGTGGATGAGACAGTGCAGCGACTTCATTTTTGGCGCAAGTGCAGACAGCCATGCAGACAATCCTTTGATCTTCCCTGCCATCGAAGGTGCACCATCTGTAACAAGCAGGTTAATACACTCCAAGTCCAGTCCGTTCTCTCGAAAAAAATCCACAATCTTCTGGAAGAGTATTTCTCCTGTTGTATGCCCTTCAAGTGGTATTAATCCCAATATGCCCTCTTTGAAACCGTGACCATCATAAAAACGCACAAACATACAAAGTTGAGCAACATCCAAGTTGTCCGTTGATTCATCCACAGCGAGGGATATGAAATCAGCCTTCCTCAGTTGATCAAGAAGAGTGTCAGAAACATCCGTGGCTAAAGCATCCACTCTTCTCGCAGTGGTTGTATCGGACAGTGGAATTGATTTAATCGAAGTTATAACTTGCTCTTTCACGTTTTCATCCGTCACCACTTCCTCAACAGCAGCTTGTATGCATTCTTTCACTGTTTCAGCATCTGTAAATGGTCTTTTATTTTTAGTCAATATCCATGCGATTCGCAGAGATGCTGTTGTAGCTTTCTGCTGCAACGTGCAGGTTCGGGTGAAATGCACACAACTCCGCTGATAGTTTTGGCTCAGTGTCTTTATTTTTATCTGTCGAGCCTCAGAGTCTGGTGGATATTCATTGTCAAAGTTAGCGTGACTCGTCTTGAAGTGCCTCCGCACGTTGTATTCTTTATTTACCGAACAAATGACGAGACAGACAAGGCACATGGGTTTTCCTTCAGCATTCTGAATGTGTGCATACTTATCAGTCCACTCCTTGTTAAATCTTCTATTTTCAGTGTCAATTTTACGTCTCTTCTCTTTTGAATGTGACATGTTTTTTTCCAAGAAACCGCTGTTATAAATCGTCATATACTTTCCATCAGGAGCTGCGCAACTTGTCGTAAAACCTGCGGTTTACGGGCACTGAAGAGCATAACAGCGTCACCGACCTGTTGGATAGGTCCCCGCTCCAAAACGTGCCGTAAAATGTCGCAAAGTTTTGTAAACTGCCGCGATTACGGTTTAGCCATCGGCTGCTAATAACTGCGACACTGCTACTTAAAAAAACTATTTATCAAGAATTATGAAGACAATGGGCCGGTCCAAAATGCTTGATGGGCCGGTTCTGGCCCTTGGGCCGCCTATTGAATAGGGCTGGTTTATGCGTTTGGCAAGAGATTTCATAAATGATCATCAGGCTGTTTTCACTTCCACTCATGATTCTCCTCTTCTGTCTCATGACTAGCAGCAGTTGGATGTTTATTACTACAAAATTGTTTGCAACACCACGCCCACTTTCAAATGAAGCACACTCCTCTTTTTTTCTTGTGTTTGCTCACGAACTATATTCCGTTTGGATGCCATCTATCTGTTACAAGCCATCTTCCACAACTAGCTTACTCTTTAACAGATGTTACGTCTCAGGTTGATTTGTATTTCTATTTATGCGTGGGCGTGACATTCAGCTGCTCTTTAAAACTGCCTGCACACTATAGGAGCTGATTAGCAATCACCAAATAACCTAGACTCTTACCCTGGCAGCACAAACTGCTTGCAGCTCAAAGGAAGACTCGGTTCAAACCCAAACACATCTTAGTCACCTGTAGCTTATTTATGCTCAGGTTAAAGACTCTAAACTGACTTGCCTAAACCTCTTGGAGTGGGATAACAAGTAACCAGCATCTCACCTTTTTGGTTACACGACACCACCGGAGAACCCCAGGCACGGAAATCCTTTTCGTTTCTTACAATAAGAAACCAAGGTTTTTATTTAACAGGATGAAAAAACATTAATCCAAACAGAATCACCCCGACGCAGTGGGTAAGACAAAAAACAGAGCTCCACCAAACTCCTACAGAACTTTTCCCAGCACTCTCAACCCCGGTCCCTCGCGGGCCCCCCATTTTTATCTCTCCACTTCCCCCTCCTTCTTGTCTCCTGTTCGTCTCCATGGCAACTCTTCCCGCTTCATGAAGCGCTCTGCCCGGTCCGCTTGTGACTCCTCCCAGCGTCTCTTGCCGGCTCATCTTGGTGTTCTCCAGGCATTACCTCATTCCTTTCTTCCGGTCATTATCAGCAGGGGGAGGTGTGCCCCCTTTCCTCTTCTTCTCCACTCCAGGTGTCTACTTAAGCCAATCATAAACATATCCCAGACGCAGTGTCTCCCCTGAATCTTTATTGCATCCTGGACTAACCCCACAGAGGTCAGTGAAGGCTAAAGCCACAACATATATTTACCCAAAACAGCAGAGTAGTGAAGCACATCCATTATTTACGACATCAGGAGATCAGGAGTCAAATCACACACACACACACACACACACACACACACACACACACACACACACACACACACACACACCACGGCCTTTCTGTGGCCTCTGTTCTAAAATAAAATGTTTTATTTTATTTTAATTACCTTAAAAGACTCAAAGTCTCTTTTTACACTTTATATTTATTTAGTCAGGATCGTTGTCAAGTCGACGCCAGAAACAATGAAACACAACTTGAATATCAGATGAACAACAAGGCTTTATTCAACCGGCATTCATACAAGTTATAAATCATGAACGAAACATTTCTCTTACCGTTGCTTATGGGTGGAGAGCTGAACACCCCAGTTAGAAAACGTAATCCATGATAGGTGAAGAACTGAACACATGTAATCCATGAACCTCGTCAGGTAGAATCCTTCAAGCAGCTCTAACCCCCTGAGCCCTCCTCTGCTCCTTATACATTCCCTGATGTGCGTGCAAAGCTGCACACCTCCACCATGATTACCTTGATTACATCCTCATGATCACATTATGTTCGGCTCTACCATGATTACCCTTGATTACATCCTCATGATAAGTGTGATTGACAAACAGTAGTGATCAATAACTTATATAAAGCAATTATACAACAGATGACAAGTTCATTTTTATTACATTCCACTCTTGAACTTTTCATCTAATTTATGTAACATATCCATCACCATTTCCCCATCAAAACCAACGTCATTTATAACATACCTTGTAGTTCCACTTTAATTTTCATCGTAGTCTTTGCATTATTACCCAATTTATTTCTCTTCTTAATCGAATAACATACCAACAAATAATAAGATTACACAATGTTAGAATGCTGATTATAATTAATGCTGCAATCATAGGTGGAATTAGCACTTTATTAGCGGTACTCGACATGCCTGTAAATATATCCCACCAATGATGAGCGGAAGCCTGTTCAATCAATGTAGCAACATGTTTTATTTCCCCTTGTACCACAAGAGTAGACACCATGAGCCTGGAAAGGTTGGACCTATGAGAGTCAATCAATTTTGCCACTTCAGTGGAACCATCCAATGCGCATTTGAATCGTTCCAGTGAGAGTGTCCAAGGGGAGTGTAAAACCTCCCATTGTATCTTAGTCAGCCGACTAGATACAGTGTAATTACTCAACCAATAGGTCACGTTATTCCATTCCCACATATGTATACCCTTGAGACAACCTGAAAAGGGAACTGAAGGTACCTGTGGGGAATTGGTCATTGTAGCCACGCATAAGGTGTTAGGACCCACCTGCCAAAACTGTTCCTCTGGGGGTGTGACCGTCCAATCACAGAGTACGACCCTTGAATCAGTGAAACATGGATTGCTATGTCCTTTTACCAATGGGCAGGCTAAACCCTTATCAGTCTCATCACAGTGTTTTACTTCATATGTTCGATTTGTTTTAACATCCCACCACTCTCCACTAACATGGAGATACCAAAACCCTTTAGTGGTTATCACCGGCAGTATCTGATATCTACACACAGTCATTACTGATGTCATATTATACTGATCCCAGTATCCAGTACACATAGATTTATTACAAATCGTCATTTCTGCATGTGGCTGTAGCCATAATGAACTACTGATGTTCCATAATGTTCGCCATGCATGATAGTTATTACTCATTACCTGTATTTGAAACCTATTTCTTTGTGTCTCAGCATGAATAGTCTGCAAGGAACAGACTGTCCAATTACATATGTGTGACAAATTATGCAATGCATCATAAGTTTCATTCCAAAGCTTTAGATTCCATTTAAATACACTTTTCCACACATCACTTCCTTCTAACTGACTAGATACAGTCGAAGGCATCCATCTTGCAGTCTTGGTGACAGCTTGTGCGGTGTATTCTCCAGTGTTGGACAGCATAGTTCGTGTTACCTCATTGTCTGCTGTGTTAGCCAGACCATACAAAGTTCCAGTTCCTCCTAGCACGGTGTCATACCATGCTCGCCTCCTCCTGTTGCAAGGCGGAATAGGAGGGAATTTCACAGTCCATCGCACATATTCGGCTACCCTTATTTGTCCCATTTGTTGACAAGTGTGAACCAGGGGAGCTACAGCTGTCTGCGTAGCTCTAGCTGTGTCGGGCAGCACCCAGAATATGTACAAATAGGCGTGTCCTCCTGTGATTACAGTTCCATTCCTGATCCAGAAATCGTGATCAACCTTCATACTCCAATTTGTGCCATTTTGTATGCAAGTACCATTCCCCTGATGGTATGCACAGATGCGCGCTGCAGAATTAAAGGTTACTGTTGATCCTTGAACCAACACCCCCGGGCTGATCACCCTTCCTCGGAATTTAAGACATCCTCTGCACCGGTACATCTTACCGGTAGATGTTAGGTTTCCCAAGTAGCAAGCGTCATTTGCTCTGCATGTGAATGTGCCTTGAGTGCGGTTGGACATACTGCTAACCAATTCCAGATGGCCCATGACCCCTTCTTCCAACACTTGTCCTTCCGTGAGCCCCCAACAGAAATGTGCCCTCAGTGCGATGACAGCGAGGACATGGAGGACGATGACCAAACATCCGACACCACCAGGTCCGCGGAGCCCATCCATCGCCTCGACAAGGGTTCAATCCTTTTGTAGGGGAAGGGGACCCAGTCAACCACCGTCACTCAGACACCCGCCTATGGGATACATACAAAACTGCAGATAGAATGACAAGCATTAATTTTCTCTCCTGTAACATTTGTTTATCGGAATATTAATCCATTTTTCCTCTCCGGGGAACAATACACTTACCACAGCATCTTTTCCCTGTGCAATAATCTCTCCAGCTCTGGGAGGACCATTGAGCTGCTCCACCCACACTTTTGCCCCCGCAGTAAAGTCTGATGATCCAAACCCAGTTTCACCCCTCTGAGTGATAGTGGTAGGTTTAGTAATCTCTTCAACTTTGGACATTACACACCGTTTGATTACTAACTGAGCTATCTTGTCTCCTTTTTCCAGTACCAACGGTTCTTTACCTGTATGCTGACACACCACACCTATTTCCCCTTGATAGTCTGAGTCTATTACCCCAGCTAAAATGGTTAGACCCCTCAAAGCTAAACCACTTCTTGGACACACATGAGCATAAGTTCCTGGTGGACATTGAATTCCCAATCCTGTTTTTACCACTGTCACTTTATTGGTTACTAAAGTGATGCTTTCCAAGATTTTAAGATCTAATCCCACAGAGCCCGCAGTTGCTCTAACAGGGAGTTCTGCCTCAGAAGTTAGTTTCCACATTCGTATAGGAGGGTCAGTAGAAGTTGTTTCCCTTCCTGCCCTGGCAACCATTAGCATCAGTGGAGTAACTCCATCCCCCACGGGTCTGTTATTTAACTGATGTACTGCCCTAGTCAGATTTTCTCTCCATTTGTCCAAAGAATTAGTAACCGATAGTTTCCTTAGTTTCTCTTTCAGTAACCCATTCATTCTCTCAATGAGTCCACTAGCTTTCGGGTGATATGCTACATGAATGTCCATTCTACCGCGTTGTTCTCTGCCCATTCTTTGATCTTATTTCCAGTGAAATGGGTACCATTATCAGTCTGAACCTGCAAAGGTAGTCCATAATAGGTCTCTATTAATGACAGACATTTCAATGTAGCCTCCTGATTGGCGTTATGACACGGATGCACCACCAGTACCCCTGACACCGTATCCACGGCTGTGCATGCATACTTACAGTTTTTACTTTTTGGCAATGGTCCAATGAAATCAATCTGCCAACACTGTCCCGCTTGTTTACCTCGATGTATCTGTCCCTGTATATGTCGAGGGATTCTCTTTTTCTGATGTTGACAAGGTTCACAATCTTCTATGGCAGTTTTAATATCATCAATGATGAGATCTATTCCTCTGTCCCTCGCCCATTTCAATGTTCCCTGCACACCCCAATGTCCAGCAGTAACGTGAGCCCATTTGGCTAATCCAGGACTTGATTGTCTTACAGCCTGAATTTTCACTATCTTATCTACAGTCTGATTATGCAGGGATTCCGGATCATTGTTATTAGTATGAGCATCCACATGTAATACTGACACAGGAATATTTTGGCATTTCTCCCAAATGTCCTTCCATAGGTCAGCTCCCCAAACCTCTTTTGAATGTATCTTCCATTGTGTAGCATGCCAAGTTGGCATCCAAGTTAACATTCCTTGAGCTACTGACCAGGAGTCAGTATAAATACTTACTCCCTGCACCCCAGCCGCCATTATTACCATGTGTACTGCTTTCAACTCCGCCCATTGACTACTCTTTCCTGTCCCTGTGAGTTCCATAACTTGTGTACCAGGGTTAAATGCCCCAGCCTTCCATTTCCTGGTTCCTGCCACATATTGACAGGAACCATCAGTGAACCAGGCTCGCTCCTGCTGCTCTGGGGTGAGTTCGCTCCATCTTACCCCCAGTTTCACAGGAGAATCCTGGATTGGTTTTACCTCAAAAGGCACTTCATCCATTTCTGGAACGTCTGCCACTTGCTCGTGGAGCATTGATACTCCTTTTTCTCCTGGTTTCATTCTCTCAGAAACATACCACTTCCATTGTATGATGCTAGCCTCTTGAGCTACCCCTATGCGGTGAGTTGTAGGATTGCTCATGACCCAAGTTAGAATGGGTATATGTGTTCTCATCATTACTTCATGCCCCACAGTTTGGGCTTCTGTTTCCAACAAAGCCCAATAACATGCCAACAACTGTTTTTCAAATGGAGTATATCTCTGTCCTGCATCAGGCAATTTCCTAGACCAAAAACCCAAAGGTTTTCTGCACCTATCTTGTTTTTGCCACAAACTCCAGTTAGCATAATCATTTACTGCAGAAACCTGTAACTCCACTGGTCCTGACAACATCTTCCCCAAAGAAACAGCTTGTTGGATTGCCTCTTTAGCTAGTTCAAATGACTGTTGTTGATCAGGCCCCCATTCAAACTGCTCCTTCTTCCGAGTGCATCTGTACATAGGCTGCAAGATCTGTCCTAAATGAGGTATGTGGTGTCTCCAGAACCCGAACAACCCAATATACCGCTGAGCATCTGTCTTATTCTGTGGTATTGGGAACCGTGCTATTTTCTCTTTAGCTTTAGTTGGTATTTCTCTTTCCCCTCTATTCCAGATAATTCCCAAGAACTTCACTGACTGTGCAGGTCCCTGCACTTTCGCTGGATTTTTCTCCCATCCATGATTCTTCATATGTGTTATCAGAAGTGGGAGCAATTGCTCAACCTCTTCTTTAGTGTTTCCCTGAATCATGATGTCATCAATGTAGTGTGATAGCAATATGCCTGATGGGATCTTTAAAGTCGACAGATTTTCAGCCACTATCCTATGACAGATTGTGGGTGAATGCAAATACCCTTGTGGTAATCTGGTGAAGGTGTACGAGGAGTATGTTTATTCAGCGCTCTATAGTCCACAGTCATTCTCCATGAACCATCTGATTTCTTCACTGGCCATAAGGGATTATTCCACCGTGTGGTGCATGTTTTCAAAACTCCTGCCTCCAGATATTCTTTAATAGTGTCCGTAATTTCTTTCTGACCCCCAGGCAACCGGTATTGTTTTTGTGATACCACCTGTGTTGCTTCAGGAATGGGAAAAGGTGTCATTTTGACCTTGCCTACCAAAATGGTGTGGATTCTGTTTATACCAAAACAAAATCGACCATGTTTCAGATGAAGAGTCATTCCGGCCAATATATCCATTCCAATAATCCATTCCTTTGCAGGAGCCACTACTACACTGTAATTTCTAATAGGTTGATTTCCTATTTTTAAGGGCAAAGTTACTCCCTTTCCTACTAACATCTGCCCCCCAAGTCCAGTCAAAGGTACAATGTTTCCCTTTATTTTATCAGGATTGCCATGAATTACCGAGGCCTCCGCCCCAGTGTCAACCAATGCCATTACTGTCTGTACTGATTTTTTCCAATAAATCTGTAATTCCACATGTGGTCTGATATCATTTATTGACCATCCTGAGGCACTGGCAACAACCTGAGCTTGACCTTCATCCTATTCATCATCATGTTCCCTTCGGTGCTGTTTTTCCTTTCTACGCTTCACTGCCGCCACCTGATAACACTCATCTGAACTCTCCTCCTCTGAAGATTCCTTGGGAGGGGCGGAAGGTTCAGCAGGCTTCGACGCCACCTCCCTGATCACATTCTGCAACATTCCAGCCAATTCTGACACAGACATCCTGTCGTCCTTTTCAGGACAATGTCTGAACTGACAATGGACCTTCAGTCCCATTTGGCTGCATTTCTCCATCAATGCATTAGTGGGCAATCCATCAATCTCCTCAAACGGCACTCCCGCTTGTCGCAGTGCCCTCCACAGATCTGTTCTAGAGGGGCCCATTGCCCCCCCTTTACGACCCCTTGAATGTGGATCAATCCTGGGTTTATTTTCAGTTCTAGCTCCCTCTCTCCTCGTCTCAGACCAATCACCCAGCGTGGTGAGTTCGCCAAGACGATCTTTTATCGCGGCAAAAGTCTGGTCTGCCGCGCCAAACAACAAGCTGGTCACCATGGGTTTATAATGTGGTGGGGCATGTCTGATGAGGTGATCTCTAGTTGCCTTAGAGATGTTACAGTCCACCACTCCAGCTCCCCCGTTTCGAGCCACTTGCTCTCTAATAGTGAGTCTGGTGAGCCGCTGAATGGCATCTCTCACTGTCTGCCATTGCCCTTTAATCTCAGACCAGTCCGCCGTGGTAGGATAGATTACATGACATGCCAGAGCATATGCATCCCCCACATTGAAATCTTCATCAGCTGGCAATGCCCGGACTGTAGCCCGGTATTCAGCATTTATCTGTGCATCAGTACTTAATCCTGAAAATCTCATGGCATCACCGGCATCTATGGCTATATCACACGCGCCATCCTCCATAAGGCGATTAAGCCAGGAGTCAGTTGGTTCGCCTGGGCGCTGTTTCAGCTTCCCATTCATGTGATTTAACTCATCTTGTGAATAATCCTCTAGCGTTGTTAGCAGCCTAGGGGCGGGTTGTGGCTGCTGTTGTAACATCCTTCTTATATTACCCGCCTCATCGAGTTCCGGCCGTCCCTGATCATCCACCATATCTACCAGTATTGGTGGAATAATTTGCTGTTCTCGCCGACGCCTAGTAATAGGTCTTTGTTCTGACATCTTTATCCCCTGTAATGATGGATACAAGGGCTGAGGTGGTGGGTCAGGTTTAATCGCCCACTCCTCCTCCTCATCATCCCCCCAAAGATCCCCGTTCCATTTCTCCGGGTTCCAATCTTCACCAACATTCTTTACAAACGCCCGGATCTGAGCAGGACCTGTTCTACGAGGTCGCTTCTTTTCCTTCCTTTGCGCTCGAGACACAAAAGTCAGCGTTTTATCCAAAACATTCTGAGCATGCTTTAGCTCTTTCCCCATCACACACACTCTCTGCTCAAACTCTGAGCATGATTTTCCAACTTCTTCAGCATGGATTTTCTCCTGCGCCGCTCGCTCTCTACAACTGCTCAATTCTAACTCCTGTTTTTTCCATGCTTCTGCAAAAAGCCACATCATATCTCTCACTCCTGCCAGCGGCGCTTTTTCTTTAACTTCTATCCGCGTCAAACGGTCCAGCACCACGGCGGGGCTGACCACTCCATTTAACTCTCCCCACGGCCCAGGGCGTCCACCGCGCTGCCTTAACATATCACCAATGGTTCGGAACTCCTCCGTTTCCCAGCCGGGAATCGGCACGGGAATCGGCGTTCCCTCCCCAAAAGCACTCGGCTCCTTTTTGCTTCTCCAAAAACACTTCATTGTTGCTGGAATAGCTTGACTGATCCTGTTCGTGACGCCAAAAATGTTCTAAAATAAAATGTTTTATTTTATTTTAATTACCTTAAAAGACTCAAAGTCTCTTTTTACACTTTATATTTATTTAGTCAGGATCGTTGTCAAGTCGACGCCAGAAACAATGAAACACAACTTGAATATCAGATGAACAACAAGGCTTTATTCAACCGGCATTCATACAAGTTATAAATCATGAACGAAACATTTCTCTTACCGTTGCTTATGGGTGGAGAGCTGAACACCCCAGTTAGAAAACGTAATCCGTGATAGGTGAAGAACTGAACACATGTAATCCATGAACCTCGTCAGGTAGAATCCTTCAAGCAGCTCTAACCCCCTGAGCCCTCCTCTGCTCCTTATACATTCCCTGATGTGCGTGCAAAGCTGCACACCTCCACCATGATTACCTTGATTACATCCTCATGATAAGTGTGATTGACAAACAGTAGTGATCAATAACTTATATAAAGCAATTATACAACAGATGACAAGTTCATTTTTATTACAGCCTCTCATCCAGGTTTCATTTCACACACACACATGGCCTTTCTTTGGCCTCTCAACGTGATTTTACTAACACAGATTGAGAGGTAATCCAGAACTGCTTCCTTTTAATACACGGGTATGGAATTGAAATTTTTGTTCAACACTCTCCACCTCTGTCTACTTGTCTGTCAGACATTTATCCACTGGCTGCTGCTGTCATTCATTGCAGAAATGCGCACGGTGTCAGATAACTCGTCTTTTTTCTCTGTCCTCTCCTCTCCTCTGCCTGAGCTGATGCTGATGGTTGTTGTTTAAGTTGTTTATGTGCTTAGCCAACGCTTTTACCCAAAGCGACTTACAATTTTTTTTTAACCTATAGGGCATGTTGTGATCTGTGGGGGAAACCGGAGCAGCCGGAGGAACCCACGCATGCATGGGGAGAACACGCAACTCCACGCAGAATGAATACCCTGAAAATTTTACCGGTATGCATTGTGCCCCAGACCAAAGTGCGGGTATGCTGAAAGGTCAAAATTAGTAATGGCAGTGGTCCGGGTACCGACCCAAAGCACTGCTCTCTATCCCCAAAGGATATGAGTCTGATAATCGGATCATCAGCACCGCATCATCAAGATCAGTTCCTGACAGCCACCGTTTCTCCCTTCCCAACCCTCCCCGCGCACCCAGCCGCTGCACGATAATTCAACTGACCCAAAATCTCCACCTTAAACCAGACTGAACATGCATCTGTTGCCAGAGCTTTTATTTTTTATTTTTTTTTTTTTTTTTGCTTTTTCAGTTGTTTTTTTTCTGCTCCACTCTTTCTGGCTCATCTCAATCCATTTTGCCTCAGGGGCTAAAGGTTCAGTGGTGTGGCAGTGCGCTCTGGGGAGGGGGGTCTTTGCAGCGCTTTGTCAGAGGAAACGCTGGACAGTTTTTTTTCCTGGTGAGACTCTTTATAAAGTTTTCTCCTTGGTGAGGCCCACCACATGTGCTCTGGACCCAATTCCCACAAAGTTTTTTAAACAATTTATGGATCTTTTGGAGATTAAATTTGAATCGTTACGAATTGCTCAGTTTAGACGGGGGTCTTTCCTTCTGTCTTTAAAGGGGCAGTGGCGAGGCCCCTGTTGAAGAAAAGCAATTAAGATTTAAATGATTTTAACAGTTTTAGACCGGTATCTAACTTACTCTTTTTAAGCAAATTTTTAGAAAAGCTTGTTTTAGGGTGAACCACAGCATGGAGACGGCCCATGTGAAGATTTTAAATAAAATTATGATGAACAGAGAGCGACAGTGCTGGTTCTACTGGATCTAAGTGCTGCTTTTGATACACTGGACCACACTATTCTTTTAACATGTCTAAAAGAAATTGGCCACTCTGATACTGTTCACAGATGATTCTCATCTTATCTCACAGACAGTGTTGGGTAATTCCTATATTACCCCCAAGTTACCTCGGAAAATTCAAAGCATACACAGAGGGATTAGATTCTTTAGATTATTGTAATCCTGCCAACAACAACAAAAACACCAACAACTTTGCAAAGGGTGAGAGAGAAATCAAATACACACCAGAGACGGAGGTCAGTTTGCTCTCACACCGAGATGAAGCTCTTTTGAGCGTATTTATTGACAAGATCACACACACACACACATCACAGAATGCACAATAACAGGTTTAAAAATCCCTCTGTCCCAGGAATCCACCTGTGACAAAAGGGTTTCTTCAGATAATAGATCAGGCGTCTCTAGGTCTGGCAGAACGGCGTTCCTGCATACAGGTGCCTGAAGCAGACAAGGAGTTAGTGAAAACATTCAAATGTCAACAAGTAAACAAGTAACTTTAAGCAGCAAGGGTGAGTGAACTCTGGTTGATTAACTAGGTCAGGATTTTTCCTAACATATTCCCCCTGTTCAAACAGAGGTCACCTTAATCACACATTATTAATCAAAATAAATTAAAAACCACCAATATGAATAACCTAATTCTAAAGTGATTATAATAATGATTATACTACTGAAACAATATTAAAGAGTAATCTAAGAAATCTAAAGGATAATTTAATCTGAGTTGATAACAAGAACATCAAACAACAATGGTTACAGAAACTGTAATTTACATTGTTGAAATCATAATGAAATCAACTTTATTAGGCAATATATTCATCTTCTGCAAGTTCCTCTTTTTGCCTCAGGAGAGTATATTGAACTAAGGTATTTGTCATTAATTTGCTTACCATATTCTTCAAACACGGGATGACACAGCCTAAAACTAAGCAAATCATAACTAGGATAATAATAACAGGTGTGAGAAACTTTAATAAGAGCTGATACCAGTTACCAGACATCAGCCAACTCATAAAACTCCAGGATCCACCAGTTGATTCATTGGATTTCAGGAAGTCTCCGATTTATCTAACACGGTCGTGAATCAGAGTCCAGTTGTCACGTGATGAAGGGAGATAGGTGCAGCAGTGTTCACCAATTTTTGCACAGAGGCCGCCTTCCGAGGCAAACAGAATGTCCAGGGCAAGTTGGTGCTGCATCAACATAGTTTTCATTGCTTGTCGCTCAGGGTTGTCAGCCAGGAACAAGGTCATATCAGAGAGTATAGTGGTGATGTTTTCTAGGGTCCACCATACTTCATTCATACGTTTCATCAGGCTGGCAGTTCCCAGCTGGGGAAAGATGGTGTAGAGGATTCCTTTGGAGTCGTCGTAGAGGGGCCTGTGGTTGTCGTCGCTGGAGAAAGGGCGGAAGATTTTAACAGGTTTAAATTCTCTCTTATGTCTCTTCGACTCTGGTGTCCTCGTAAAGACGGACCCTTCCTCGGTGATGATATATGAGGAGGGTTGCAGCCGAGCCAAGCTGCAGGTGCCACACCAGTCACGTGGCAGGTACAGATAGAGAGAGCTTCCGCACTTCCAGATGTAGCCTTCAGGGGTCCCCATTCCCATAATTGAGGGGACTTCCAGAATATGTTCATGTGTCTTCCATGGTGGGTAGTAGGGTCTTCCAGTCATTACAAAGCTTAACAAGGTTACATTTATGGTAATGTAACCAGGGGTAGTAATCCGAAGTGTTAACCAATGTTTCTTTGTATGAGATGTGCGAGATCTCACAGTCCATCCGTCTCCGGGGAGAGTGTCATCGCAGGTGGATCTGCCCAACAGAGTCATGGAGTTTGAGCAGGAGACAGAGATGCAGAATGGGTCTTTACCTGTGAGACGGAGTAGATGTATTCCTTTGGAGATGGAGGAGTTGGTTGATGCAGAATAGCTGGCAGGGCGTGACCAGCGTCTCTGTTGATGTTGAGGTGAGCAGCAGTGGGGAATGGTGCATTCCCGTGACTCAAAGGCTTGGCGGGTGTGGGCGTGAAGTAGACATATGGTGTCATTCAGGGAGACGGGGATAGCTGTCATCGTGGGATTTTCCAATGAATGATGGGGGATCCAGGAGCAGATATAGCAACTGTTATTAAATCCTAGTCTTTTGGCGGTTAGATTTACCATGTGGTACCAGGCGTTTTGGTGTGCTTCATGGATATTTATAGGAGCAGGCTTTGCTTGTGTGGTGTGTGCAGTCGTCAGGTCCAATGGACCATAGCAAACAGTAAAAAGATGATAGAGAGCTTCATGGTTGCGGATGGTGATGCAAACAACTGGATTAATAGCCTTCTCCTAACGAGAAGTTTGACCGCTAGGAGTTAGGGATCTTGTACCTGTGTACTCTTCACCTCGCGTTGAGATGCCTTGGGTCTAAACACCAAAACCCCTTTGTAGCTGGTCTTCCCCCATAACCCGTGTCTATTAATCCAGATGTTTAAGCAGTTTGCAATGGGACAGATGAATCCAGGTGGGTCGCTCAGCGATTTTTACAGCAGTGGGAGTAGCCAGTAGAACTTGGAAAGGTCCTACCCACTTGGGACTGGTCCAGGTTTTTCTTTTGATGACCTTAATGAAGACCCAGTCCCCGGGTGTAACTGCAGGAGTTTTGTCCTGCAAGACAGGAGAAGAAATAGGCCAGGTATTTGCAGTTTGGGATTCTTTGGATAAAATAATCATTTTCATATAGTCAGCCAAGGTTAGTTCATCTTCAGTTTTCTGTAAGTCTTTGTTAACCAAAGGCAGTTTATAGGGTCTGCCATAAATGATCTCAAAAGGTGTTAGTCCTAGATTGTTAGGTGTTATTCTCATGTAAAGCTTTACTAAATCTAAACATTCTGGCCACGGCTTCTTAGTTTCTGCCATGCATTTTCTGAGTCTGTTTTTTATGGTAGCGTTATTACGCTCAACAAGGCCAGCACTGGCAGGATGATATGCACAATGGTTTTTTAATTTGATTCCCAAATGATTAGCCATGTTCTGAATGACCTCATTCACAAAGTGAGGTCCATTGTCGGAGTAAATTACTTCCGGAATGCCGTGATTAGCAATTATGGTTTTGCATAAGGCTTTGGCTACTGTTAAAGCATCATTCTTTGCTGTCGGTATAATCTCAACCCACTTGGAAAAAGCATCAACAATGACCAAACAATATTTGTAGGGACCACTCTGTGTTAACTCAATAAAATCCATGTGCAACATTTGGAATGGTTATTTTGCCTGGGGAAACTGCCCTCTCTTTGGTCTTACATTTCCCTGAGCATTGTGTTTAGCACAAATCACACATGATCTGCAGAAGTGCCTGAGATAGGATTCCAGGTTGTAAGTTGTAAAATGTTGCTTAATTAAATGAGCCATCCCCTCTGTTGACACATGACAGGGGCCATGTGACACCAGAGCAGCAGCCTTAAACAGGGACTTCGGCAGAACAGGTTTATCATGTGCAACATAGAGACCATCTGCAGACAACGTTGCACCTTTAACCTTCCAAAGTTGTTTTTCAGCAGCTGGGGCATGCACCTGCATGTCAGCCAAAACTGTGTGATCAATGAGGGAATCAGTTGTCTGTGCAGTGAATAAATCAGAAGAACCGAAAATGCCTTGGGACGCAGACTTTGCTACCTCATCAGCAAACCTGTTCCCAAAGGAAACTGGATCTTTCCCTGAGGTGTGGGCTTGGCATTTACAGAATGCAAGAGCAGAAGGTAACAGGACAGCTCTAAGTAGTCTGAGAAGGAGTTGAGAATGGGTAATGGGCTTCCCTGAGGACGTCACCATCCCCCTGCTTTCCCATTGCTTAGCAAAACAATGCACAGTAGAAAAAGCATACTGACTGTCAGTGTAAACTGTCAGAGGCTGACCAGAAGCCAGCTCACATGCTCTGGTCAGGGCAATTATCTCAGCCGCCTGAGCTGAGAAATGAGATGGTAAAGATTTGGCTTCAATCACGAGGTCAGGTGCTTGCACAATAGCATAGCCTGTTTGAGTTTTGCCTGTCTCTGTTTTAGAACATGATCCGTCCACAAACCATAACAAACTATCAGGAAGTGGTGTGTCTTTGAGATCAGGTCTGGGGAGCTGTAAATTATCAGTGGCTTCGATACAGTTGTGTGGGTCCCCATCAGCTGGAGTGGGCAACAAAGTTGCAGGATTCAGGATGTTACATCGCTGAATAGTAATGTGGGGCTGAGACATTAAAATGGCTGTGTAGCTTAGATGTCTAGCAGGAGATAACAGACCCAATCTACCTTGCAACAACAACACGTCCACAGCATGTGGCACTAATAGAGTTAGAGGGTGGAACAGCACCACGTCTGCCGAACTTGATATTGCGAGGGCAGCAGCTGATACTGCTTGGACGCATACAGGTAAAGCTTGAGCTACCTGATCCAAGTTCTTAGAATAAAAAGCAACTGGCCTCTGTTTATCACCATGTTTTTGCAGCAAAACAGATGTCATGAACCCATTTCTACAATCAACAGTTTGCGTAAAAGGTTTAGAATAATCAGGTAAAATCAGAGTTGTGCTGGAATGGATATCTTGTTTCAGGTTTACAAAAGCTGCTTCTGTTAAGGGAGTCCAAGAAAGCTTATCATTCATTTCCATCTGTTGGCCATGAATCATTTCAGAAAGGGGCTGAGTTTTTTCTGCATAATGGGGAATGTACTGTCTGCAGTAATTAACAAGACCTAAAAACTGCATCATCTGCTTTTTAGTTTGGGGTTTTGGGGTGTTCAAAATGGTTTCCTGTCTTCCTGACTGGATTTGCCTACCTTCACCCGTCAAAGTGTGTCCAAGATACTGGACAGTGGTTTTGACCCACTGCAGTTTTGATTTACTGACTTTATTTCCTGTTTCATGGAGATGCTGCAGCAAAGCGAGAGAGTCTTTGAGGCAGGACTCAGCATCGTTTGAAGCAACCAAAATGTCATCCACATAAACAAGAATTTGTGAATTTGCTGAACATTGAAAGTCCGCTAGACAATTAGTGATTGCTTGAGTGAAGATAGTGGGGCTGTCCGAGAACCCTTGTGGTAGACGAGTGAAAGTAAACTTCGAGTTTTTGTAGGTGAAAGCAAACCAAAACTGTGAGTCAGGATGAACAGGAACACTGAAAAACGCATTGCTCAGATCAATCACAGAAAAGTACTTCCTGGAAGACTTGAGGGAGTTTAACAATGTATGGGGGTCTGGAACATGTGGGGCACGTGTTTGGACTGCGGTGTTGACCATTCTAAGATCTTGAATCATGCGCCATGTTTTGCCATCTGCCTTTTTTATAGGCCAGATGGGTGTGTTACATGGAGAATCAGGACAATGTCTGATAACTCCAGCTTCCAGGAGATCTGAAATCACCGGAGCAATGCCTTCTTCTGCTTCAGGAGACAAAGAATACTGTTTAACTCTTGGTCTGAACTCGGATTTTGGTTTGATCTCCACAGGAGAGATAGAGTTCAAAAGGCCCACATCAGTCTGGCCTACAGACCAAAGTGTTTCAGGAATTTGTTTAAGTTGCTCCTCCTCCTCATCTGATAACAACACAGAGTCAGTCTGTCACTTCAAAGGGTTAACAGCAGTTTCACACTGAAGTGGGACGATCAGAGGAAATCGGTAGAGACCAGTGCTTCCACTGTACTGCCATAGATCCTTTTTATCAGGCTGGATTGGGGTGAAATCTGTAGCCTTCGATGCTGTGTTAATCATGTACCCTAAATCTTTCCAGCGCGAGGAGCTGTCTTTTGTCAAAGAAATGTGTGGAGGAGTAGGCAAATCATGGAATGATTTCATGTTGGTTGGGAGTAATACAGAAACTGCAGAATCTGACTCTCCGTTTGTTATCAAATAGGAGGTAGCCAACACAACAGGAGACAAAGGTAGAAAAACCCGTTCATATGGTAAGTCCTGCTCTGGCCTGAGGGCCATAGTTACATGCAGCTGGGATAAGGCCATTTCATCTCTAGCTGTGTTGTTAAGCACCGGACGCAATGTTCTCATAATAAGCTCTGTTTCAACTAGATTTGCTTCAACAGAAACTTGCAAAGAATAATATACACCAGTAGGATCATGGAGGTAACAGTAATCTTCAGCCACCCGAACAGCTCTCATGCCATCTTTTATGGGGACAATAGAGATTTTTAGTATTGACATGAGGTCTCTGCCCAATAAATTTAAAGGACAGTCTGGTGCTATGACCAGGGAGATTCTTTTTTCCAATCCTGTCACTGGATCATCCACCAAAACCGGTTTAGACAGAGACGAGCGAGTGGTTTGTCCATCAGCAGTTTTAACCAATATGCTATTCTGAGACCTGGGCAATTTCACACCTGACGATACCACGGAACGACATGCACCAGAATCACATAGGAACTCAATACATTGCCCTTCAATATTAAGTTTGATAAATGGCTTTTCTTTTAGGACATTAAGTAATTCCCAAGCTCCACAGCAGTCAACCACGTCATTTTCCTCTGTCCAGGTATCAGAATCTGCCTCTAGTCATTGTCGATAGTCGTTTCCTCGCTCCTGTCTAAATCGGGCGTGATCCGGTTGGGGATTGACAGGCTCACGGCTAGGTCGGTTCCTCTGAAATTGGAAACTCCTGCCATTATTGGGACCCCTATTGGGTTGTCTGTTATCTGGGCCGCCTGGCTTGGAAGGACAGTCACGTGATATATGACCTTGACCTCCACAAGTCCAACAAACGCGTGGCTGTGAGTCGTTTAGTGAGGACCATTGTCTCTGGTTGCTGTTACGACCACCCCTCTGAGGATTAAACTTTTTGTTATAGCTGCCCTGCCGATAATAGACATCTTCCTCCTCTGTGCTATCAGTTTCTTCTAGGAAGATTTGTGGGCCTGCCTTAGGAGCTTTTGGTTTATCTTTATTCTGAATGACTTGCTCCGCATGTCTGGCATTTATCATCAGGTCTTCAATTGTACAGGATTCCCAGTAAATGAAATGTTCTTTAATCCGTGCAGTAATCTCAGGCCGGAAACCTTTTAGCAGCTCAGAGCACAAATATCTCACATAAGCCCCATCTACATTATTATCAGGTGGAATGGCACTGTGAATGTTGAACTGGGTTTGATATCTAGAACGGAAATCATCAACCGACTCATCAGGTTTTTGCCTGATTGAAGACAACTGAGTTAGTTTTGGAATTTTCTTAAAGTTCTGTTTTACGTTCGTGGATAAAATGTCAAACTGGATCTTTAAGTCTCCAGTTAGGTCCCCTGTTGCTTGATCTGTCTCATACAGAGCCACAGCTCCGTTGGGGCGTCTACCCGTATATTGGCTTCGAACTCTATGCCAATGTTTTTGAAGGCTCGCTTGAGCCAGTTGACCTAATTCATGCCCGTTCAAACGATAGCAGTGAATCACTTCCAGCATGTCTGAGACCCATTTATCTGGATCATTTGTGTGAGGTGTAACCTGTTCAGCGATTTCCCTCGCATCTTTAAGGGACCAGGGTCTAAACACAAATTGCCGTGACCCATCATGTGTGGGGACCTGAACCATAGGATAAGCTTCTCCTGTGATTTCATCATCTGACATACTGTCTGAGTCTGTTCCCTGATGAGGAGGTGAGTTTTCAGATTTCTTTCTGTCCTTCT